CTCTTGTCAACATAACCTGAGAGATTGCAATCGGAAAAAGTTGGGAGATCGCTTAGAGAAAACCTCTGAACCCTTATAGCTAACCGTCGAGAAAGACGACGAAGAAGGCAAAATAAAAAAAGACTGGGCCTTATACTAGGCCTAGGCCCAATAGTTGTTAGCCAACATTAGGCTTTTATTACTTTTGTGCATGCAACTCGTGCGTTTGCAATTTGTCATGTGAGCATGAGTAGAAGACAATTTAAAAACAAACAAAAGTTAATATTTTAAATTTTTTTCTCTCTTTTATAATTTTCAATTTTGAAGTTTTTTCAATGACATTACGGATACTATTAGATGCTCTTAGTTAGCATGGAATGAAGGAATATATCTCTTACACAATAGGAAATCAAAATCAAAGCATAAAAAGATGAGAAAACAAAGAAACATAACAACCCTTAACCAAGATATAGTTTTGTTCATGAGGTCTCTCTACCATGTTTAGACCTCATCATTCACTTGGGAGGATGAAAATAGCCAAACATTGCAAAGAAGGCTTGAATTATCGTGAGAATGACAAGCGTCAAAGCAGCGCAAGATGAAAGAGCTGTCCAAGGACTATCGAAATGGGTATGCTTAAATCCCGCCCATTGTACATGCCATCCTCTTGAAGTATACTTGTTAACTCCTTCGAAAACATCAGCTAAGTAACTTTCACTGATGTCAAAGTTGATATCTTTACCTACAACCTTAAAGAATCGAGAGACATCATCCCCTGACCCGAAATAGTTCTCAAGAATCCCTACTTCGGTTAGAAACATCGCATCAGCCTCGCTTTTTAGAAGACATCCCATCAAAGCTACATAGCTCGTTATGTGCTTGTTACAATAAACATAAAACTGTTCATAGGCAACACAATTAAGGAAGACCGAAATGAGAAAATCATCCAAGATCAATGGTGGTATCTCGAGGTATTTTCTTCTACGCCTTATGTCCAATACCGTTTCGGCATTCTTCCTCGGTTTGAACTTTATCCCTTTCAACTGAAGTTTTCTTGCTGAAAGAATCATTCTCAGATGAGGGCGGCCAGGAGGATCTTCTTCTTCGAGCTGCGAATCCGATTTTTGTTTTCTTTCTTCGAGCATGTAATCCAACTCTTGTTTTTCCTTTTCGGACATGGACTCGTGCTTTCCTTCATTGAGAATGGAATCCAATTCTTGTTTTCCTTTTTTCAGCATGAGATCCACTTCTTGTTTTCCTTGTTCTAGCATGGAATGCAAATCTTGTTTCCCTTTTTTGAGCATGGCATCCAATTCCTTTATTTCTTCTCCCGGGATACAAAACTTTCGAATCAAATCAAGAAAGTGTTTTGACTCTTTCTCTTCTTTAGGAATATCAGGCATAAAAATCTTTCGAATCAAATCAAGAAGATGATTTGCCTCAAGATTATGGTGTTTTAACCAAAACTCTTTTGGTTTTAGGAACGAATAGTCAAAGAAATTAAATGTAAACGTATTTATCCCACTCGAGGGTTCTATCTTTGATTTCTCGAATAAAGTTTGAAGAAGGAAGTAAGGAACCTGATTCTCCAAAAGTAGTAGGTCACTCCTTATAGCCGGTATAATCCATGGCATTACGAATATAGGATCATTCTCAATCTCATGGTACCTGACTATTCCGGCTACCGCCAAGAACAACATCAGAATGAAGCAACCGTCAAGAACCATCATTTCAATCAATTTCTTCCGACCTAACATATCACCATTGTCATAAAGGCTCTCCGAATACGACTCTCTAATATCTTCCTCCAACTTTGAAACCGCTTCGATAAGATCTTTTGCATCCACACCATTTTTCTTAGCTTCAGCCATGAAAAACCCGAGGAAACGATGTTTGTGCTCTTGAATCATTTGGAGATGTGGTTTTCCATTATGGTATGGGCCAAATGAAACAACCCTCGGTTCATAAGCCTTCTTGTTGTTTTCTTCGAGTCTCTCGGGGATTTTAAAGATGCAACACTTTTCTCTCCCGGCTGATTTCTTCAGAAGCTTAGGGTCAGATCCTCCTCGAAGTTCTTCTACAACTACATCTATTGTAACATCGTCTTTATCAGTTTTATCTCCCTTTGCTTCTTCAGGAGGGTTCATTATATGATTCTGAATTTCTTACGATATATTTTGTTGGAAAAATCAAGGAAGAGCAAGTGTGGGAGAAGGAGAGTAAACCCAACGTTGCTTTCCTTAGATATACATAGCATAAAACATATTCACTATGTATGATTATTATTAATTTTTTAAAACAACTTCGTGTATGTATTATATAGAACGAGTTATTTAGATATTCTTAATGTTTTCTAGCTAGTCATTATTTTCTCAAGTTTAACATTTGACCTCAAAGACGTTTACAAAAAAAATCAAAGAGAAATTAAAAGGTTTGTTATATATCGTCTAAAGTAAAAGCTTAGAAACTTGATACGTTTGCTTCTAATTCAAAATCATTCTAAAACTTAAAAAGTGTTCATATACACTAATATATTTACGCAAGTAATATAAACTAAACAATGACATTTTGAAACAAACGTAAACTATATCAATCAAACTCACTTCTCGACGTAAAGAAGAAGTATAAAAAATTGGATTAATTGGGTTTTTAGTACATTTTTGAAACATATTTGTAGAAGTAGTACATTTACTATTCATTATTAGCAAACTAATACATTTTTACTATTTGGACACTATTTAGACACTATTAAAAACCCCCTTAAATCTAATAACTAAAAATATTCATCAAAATATATTTGTTTTCTATAAAATTTCAATTACATAAAAATCTATATTTTTTTCTCTATAATTTGATATGCATTTTTTAAAAAATAATTTCAAATATTTTTCAAATAAATTTTGATACGTCCAACTATCCTTATGTACAGTGTGTGTCGATGTACGGAAAATCATCCGTACAGCGGTCTATATATACGTATAATTGTACGTGTACATATATTTTCTGGTCTATATATGTATATTTGTTTATGTGTAAATATGTTTATATGTAGTTGTTTTTCTTTGTACAAATATTTGATGTACAATAATATGTAACTGTACAGTTGTCTGTCTGTACAGATATCTGAAATAGTAAAATTGTACTATTTTGCTAATTGTGAATAGTAAATGTACTATCTTTATAATTATGTTTCAAAAACGTACTAGTTTGCCAACACACCCTAAAAAATTTACCATTTGCCACAAAAGTCTACTGCAAATTAATTGGATCTCATCAACTACAGTGAATATTAACAGTTTAAATAAGACTTAAAACTAATAACAAAAGACCACTGACTAAAATAATGCCTTATAC